CCCATAAAAATGAACAACCATAGCCTATATTCTACTAATATAGCCATATCAAGATGCTCTGTATTTTCAAAATCAAACACATGTGTTGTCATTTAATTTAATAAGTGTAATTATTAAAGTATTTCAATATAATCTCGGTAACCCTGAATTTAGCAGATCTGGGATCATCTGAACTTCAAAGCTGCACACATTCTCTCTGTGTGGAAAAAGTTTAACGTACAGATCTCAATAATCATCGGCACTTTCACTCTGGAGCCATTCAGCTGTGATCAGTGTGGTAAAAGGTTTTTTATTTTTTTAATTGTTTAATTTTTATCAAATCTAAAATGTCACATGAAAACAATGTGTGTTATAAATGTGCAAGGAGCTTTACTGCAGCTAAACAACTGAAACAGCACCAAAACATTTATAGAAAAACCAAATGCTCATATTGTGACAAAGGTTAGTCTGCTCTAAAATCACAAGCGGCTTTATACTGGAGAGAAACCATACCTCCAATAGTGTACTCATTCAGATAAAAACTTATTGATTAGCATACTTCAAATATCTTTAGTGAAGAATATTTTTGTTGCATTTTTACCCAAAATAGGGTAATTTTGGCATTATAGAATAACGATCACGTCTACTACAAGCCATTTTAGTTATTTTCGTAAGGATATTATTCAATGCAATGCTAATCAACATAGCCTTTATCACTGTATATAATACTAGATCTTCTTCTAGTGTTGTCAAAAGTACCAAGTTGGAACTGGTATTTTTAAAAGTTGTGCTTTGAGCGCTGTTGAGCAGAATCGTAAACACCAGTGATTGGCCATTGTACTCACGCTCTCATCAAATATGTCTGTGATTGGCTACAATGATCAGTGCTTTAAAAACATGTTGTAAATATACATGAATGGCGCTTTTCAGCAACCGCTTACACCAATACACACGGGAGCGTTTGAGCTGCTTGTGCTCGAATGCTCCAGCTTTCAAAACACTTGCATTGATCATTGTAGCCAATCACAGACATATCCGATGAGCTCGTGAACACAATGTCCAATCACAGGAGTTTATGATTCCGCTTAACTGCATTCAAAGCGTCACATTTTTAAAATTTCAGTTCTTGGTACTACTTAAATATTCCCTTCACCTTCCTAATATTGTGTTGGCCCCCCTTTTGCTGCCTGTCAAGGTATGTACTCCACTTGACCCCTGAAGGTGTACTGTCGTATCTGGTACCAAGATATTAGCAGCAGATTTTTGAAGTCCTGTAAGTTGCGAAGTGGGGCCTCCATGGATCAGACTTGTTTGTTCAGCACATCCCACAGATGCTCGATTGGACTGAGAGGACAAGTCAACACCTCATTGTGCTCCTCAAACCATTCCTGAACCATTTTTGCTTTATGACAGGGCACATTGTCCTGTTGAAAGAGGCCAATACCGTTTCCATGAAAGGGTGTTACATAATATGTAACCTTTAAAATGCTCTATATTTGAACTAAACATATTTGAAGCACCCTGTTAAAATAATCCAGTAACTATCAATTCAGTAACTTGTCTTTGATTTTTTTCCAGATCTGGTCCTGTGGGCGTCAGTATCACACAGTGATCACAGTTCACACCTGCAGTGAAGCCCCTCCCACAACAATTCACCAATAAATACTGGGAATATCCCCATCATCCTACAAGAGAAGGACAAACTCCAGGAGTAGCAGCTGAAATCTGTGTGACTGTTAAAGATGGAGTTTATTAAAGAGGAGATTGAAGACACGACTGATCCAGAACCATCCAGAATAAAACATGAAGATACCGAGGAACAAACAGGTTGGTGTCCATTCTTTATTCTTCATTGTTGACTGTTTTGGTGGCTGTGAAATAATATGCAGTAAAATGATTATAAATAATTGAGAAATGCATCTGAATGATCATAACCAGTGGTGGACAAAGTACACAAATCGAGTACCTGAATAAAAGTACAGATTATTACAATATTACTCCAGTAAAACAGGGTTCCCGTGGATCCTTAAAAAGTCTTAAAGGGATACTCCACTTTTTTTGGAAATACGCTCATTTTACAACTCCGCCAGAGTTAAACTGTTGAGTTTTACCTTTTCTGAATCCACTTAGCCGATCTCCGGTTCTGGCGGCACCACTTTTAGCATAGCTTAGCATACATCTTTGAAGTGCACAAGACCAGTAGCATTTCTCTCAAAAAAATTACCAAAGTGTTTCGATATTTTTCCTATTTAAAACTTGACTCTTCTATAGTTACATCGTGCACTTAGACAGACGGAAAATGTAAAGTTGCGATTTTCTAGACTGATATGACTAGGAACTATACTCTCATTCCTGCGTAATAATCAGGAAACCTCCCTGTCGTACCATGAGTGCAGCATGCGTAATGTTATGACGCAGCGCCTGAAAATAGTCCCCGGCTTCTAACTTGACCGGGACTAAGTTTGTGTAGTCATTGCGCCTGCTGCACTCGTGGTATTCACACACTGCACACCTTCCCGATTATTATTTGTTTCTTTGACGAAAAACGACGGTATTCCCTCGCGCTAATCCTCCTTCTCTTCTTGGGGATTGCCTCCTCCATGTTAAATGTGTCTGGTCCGTTGATAGCATAGGGTTGATAGACGCTGGCTTATTCTTCAGCTCCGACTTCGCATGCAGGCACCACGGCCACGCACGAGCGCAAAAACAAACAACACCCGCCCCTGTTGGTGATTGGTTAGAACACTGTGTTTATTTTGATTTTGATTGGTGGTTGTTCCCATTTGTTTTTGTGTGCAGATACATTTTTTGAGAGCCTGTTTATGGGGCGGGCAGCTAGTGGATCGTTAGGAAAGATTAGATGAATGTGATCATTTTTGTTTGGGCCTAAAATTGGTGATACAACCTTTAACCTCATTGAACTGATTCTAACTGATTAATATGTTTTTAGACCAGATTAAAGTGGAGCAAAGACAGAAACTAAATGACATGAAGAATAACTGCAACTTCAAATCTCAAGGAACAAAACCCAATAAGCTGCACTCCTGCTCTCAATGTGGAAAGAGTTTCCAAATAAAAGCAAGTCTTCACAGACACATGCGAATTCACACTGGAGAGAAACCGTATCCATGCACTCAGTGTGAGAAGAGTTTTTCTCAAGCATCAGATCTCAGTGTTCATCAACTCCGTCACTCTGGAGAAAAACTATTTAAGTGTGATCAGTGTGGTAAAGATTTTATTTCATCATCAAATCTAAATCAACACCTGAAAGTTCATTCAGACGAGAGGCCTTATGTGTGTTCTCTCTGTGGAAAGAGTTTTTCACGACTTGACAGTTTTAAACAACACCAGAAAACACATGATGAAGTGAGAGATCATGTGTGTTGTGACTGTGGGAAGAGCTTTACTAGAACTGCCCATTTGAAACAGCACCAAAGAATTCATACTGGAGAAAGACCTCACCACTGTACTCAGTGTGGAAAGAGTTTCACAAATAAAGGATACCTTATCAAACACGCAAGAATTCACACTGGAGAGAAACCGTATCCATGCACTCGGTGTGGAAAGGCTTTTTCTCGAGCGTCAACTCTCAGTAATCATCTGCAAATTCACTCTGGAGAAAAAACATTTAACTGTGATCAATGTGGGAAAGGTTTTATTTCATCATCAAGTCTAAAACAACACCAGAAAGTTCATTCAGATGAGAAGCCTCATGTGTGTTCTCTCTGTGGAAAGAGTTTTTCACGGCTGGATCATTTGAAAGTGCACCAGAAAACACATGATGAAGTGAGAGATCATGTGTGTTGTGACTGTGGGAAGAGCTTTACTACAAATTGCCATCTGAAACAGCACCAAAGAATTCATACCGGAGAAAGACCTTACAAGTGCTCATACTGTGACAAGAGTTTCACTCATTCTGGAAACCTTAATTCACACGAGCGACTTCATACTGGATAGAAACTGTCCCACTGTACTCAGTGTGAGAAGACTTTCAAACATTTATCAAGCCTTCTCTCTCATATGAAAAAATGTTGCACATGAGCAATTGTTTTCATGTCAAATACTTAAAAAAGAAATGTAATGAAAAAAAAAGTGTAATTTAGAAAACTGAAAAAGACTTGAGATGTGAAGCTTTACCAGTCAACAACTCTTACAGTGTAAATAAAATCATTGTAGTTTATTTCTGTCTGGATTTATCATGTGCTAAATATATCTTTATTGAATTGGATATATTCATGTAATTTGTTTACTAAGTTTATGAAACTTCTGAAAGTACATGCAAAAAATAAAACAGAAACAACATCTTGTGTTGATTGATCTATTTAATGAACACAGATCATGAGTTATATAGTTTTAATCACATAAATGAGTTTAAACATTCTATATTGTACAGCATTATTGTCAACCAAATGATCAGGTCTTGTTTCATACAAAGCGGTTGAAGTTCATTTTTATCTTTTATTATGGACTGCTGAAGAAACATGAAATGCCATAGCTTCAGTTCACCAGATTAAATAATAAACAAACTGATCATTTGTATTATTTAAAGGTGGTGTTATCCAGTGCTGCAGTAAGTTGAAAATATAAATTACAGGCTTTCATAAATATACAGAATAAGTCAAAGTCAAAATAGTTTTGATTGATTCACTCTTTTTGCAGAGATCATTAACTATGTGAAGTTTGTGGCAGCCTGAGCAGACTCAAATGTGCTCCACTACAACAACTAGTCCTTAAAAAGCAATTTCTAGCATATCTGTTACATCAGATGTTTATTTTTTATGCTCAATAAGCAACATTACACACTAACTAAAGTTAAAAAAGTGAAAACATAATCAACCACCCCTTTAACTTTCTCCACTCTAGCGACGGCCCTGTATGTAATTATGTTCATCCGGAATATGCGGCCCCTTTAAGAAAAATTACACCGCGCGTTGTGAGCATGCGCAGAAGAATGTACGGCGAGAAGAGCAGCGCATTCAGTCGAGGCTGTTTTGTTAGAAGAAAGAAAAAGGGTATGTGGTTGCTTCTTACCTGAGCGATGTTTTTATATGTAAATATATACGAAGCCAAAGCAACTGTCTTCAACTTGTGTATGGCGATTTTGTCTCGATTATAAATCAGGATTTTGTGAAGAGCAGCTGCTTCAAGAAACTGTTGGTTAACATATATGGGTCTCGTTTCAGTCACTATTTATATTCTTCCCGTTGTCTGAAAAAAGAAACATACAATTACATAGATAAAAAACGTGTTTATTTTAAAAGGCTGACAGCCAGCACAATGTAAATACGACGTAATGACGTCATCGATATATGCCGATCGTTATCTTGCGAACGTGACAAACGTGAATTATTTTCTTCGGATGTCTTATCGTCTTCATTTTGTCTATATATTGTCTTCAGGTGAGAGATGTTTTTCGGATTATAGAGTTTAACATTAAACAGCTCCAGAGTTTATGTGTTTCAGCTAATGTAATGAAATGCGTTGTGTTCCTGGTTTAACGTTATAACTTTGAGTAAAATGTTGGAAGAGAGTTTTTCCACAGACTCTGTTTGACTGAATAAGGTGTGTGTAAATAGGGAATAACTTTTGGAGACAAAGATGATTGATGGCTCTGTTATTTCTGTCAGACTTTGGACAACTATTAAACGAACCTTGCTTTTTATCCAGTTGATATCTAACTTTATCTAAACAATTCTCTATCAGAAAACATACATGTTCAATTAATTTAAAAATAATTCAGTAACTTCTCTTTGAATTTAGCAGATCAGGTGTCCATCCCACAATTCACCAATAAATACTGGGAATATTCCCATCATCCTACAAGAGAAGGACAAACTCCAGGAGTAGCAGCTGAAATCTGTGAGACTGTTAAAGATGGAGTTTATTAAAGAGGAGATTGAAGACATGACTGATCCAGAACCATCCAGAATAAAACATGAAGATACTGAGGAACAAATAGGTTGGTGTCCATTCTTGATTCTTCATTGTTGACTGTTGAGAAACAAATTTACCAGATTTAAGATATAGAATTGTGTCTAAATTATCATGATCTTGCATAGCTGTTGTCATCCAAAAATGTTCACTTAAACTGATCTTAAACCACTTGATTTTTATTTTTTTTTTATTTTAGACTGGGTGGAAGTGAAGGTGGGACATAAACTGGATGAAGGCGAGGAAGATGATTGTACACAGTACATCTGCTCTCAATGTGGAAGGAGTTTTTCTCAAACATCAGGTCTCAGTAATCATCTGTGCATTCACCCCGTAGAAAACCCATATAACTGTGATCAGTGTGGTAAAAAGTTTAATTCATCATCACAGCTTAAAAAACACCTGAAAGTTCATTCAGATGAGAAGCCTTATGTGTGTTCTCTCTGTGGAAAGAGTTTTTCACGACTGGATCATTTTAAACAGCATCAGAAAACACATGATGAAGTGAAAGATCATGTGTGTTGTGACTGTGGGAAGAGCTTTACTAGAGATGACTATCTTATACGGCACCAAAGAACTCATACTGGAGAAAGACCTTACAAGTGCTCATACTGTGACAAGAGTTTCACTCAGTCTGGACACCTGAAAGTGCACGAGCGACTTCACACTGGAGAGAAGCCGCACCAGTGTACTCTGTGTGGAGAGAGTTTCAAAAATTCAACAGGTCTCAGCAATCATTTGTTCATTCATTCTGGAGAAAAACCATTTAACTGTCTTCAGTGTGGGAAAGATTTTCATTCATCATCCAATCTTAAAAAACACCTGAAAGTTCATTTAGATGAGAGGCCTTATATGTGTTCTGTTTGTGGAAAGAGTTTTTCAAGAAAGGAAAATTGCAAACGGCACCAGAAAACACACAATGAAGTGAGAGATCATGTGTGTTGAGATTCACTACAGCTGATCATCTGAAACGGCACCAAATAATTCATACTGGAGAAGAACCTCTCAAGTGTTCATATTGTGAGAAAAGTTTCACTCAGTCTGGAAACCTGAAATCACATGAAGGAGTTCATACTGGAGAGAAGCCGTACTACTGCACTGAGTGTGAGAAGAGAGTTTTAGACATTCACCAAACTTTCTCACAGATATGAAAAAAAAAAAAAACTGCGAGCCTGCCAAATACTTCATAAGTACAGTGTGAGAAAATATAGTTTTTGCTTAATTTTGGAAATTTGGTGAAAAGATTGGAAAATCTCTATAAACTCTTAGTGTAAATAAAATAATTTAAAAAGATTTTTCTGACAGGGAGAATTGTTTGCTAAATGTGTCTTTCTTGAATTCATATTCACTAATTGTATTAGATTGTGTTCAAATAATTCAGGTAATATGATAAATAAAACAGAAACATCATCTTGTCTTGATTGATCTATTTAATGAACACAGTTGACATACTGTAAGAGGTCATTGATCCTCCTTTCAGCCCTCTTGATGAATAGTAACTGAATAGTAACATTGAAACTGCACAATGATTCGTGTTTTACTTCTCAGTCTAAGTCACAAAATCGCGTCTGGGGTGCCTCAGGGCTCAGTGCTTGGACCACTTCTGTTCTCCATCGACATGACATCACTAGGATCTATCATTCAGAAACAAATTTTCCTATAATTGTTATGCTTATGATACACAACTATACCTCTCATTCCAGCATGATGATCCGACGGTAGATGCCGGTATCTCAGCCTACCTGACAGACATTTGTTGCTGTATGAAGGACCACCTTCGACTCAATCTGAGGATTAATAGACGCTTTGCAATGCCAAGTTGTGAAATAAAACGGTCTTTGCAATTCTAACAAGAAGAAAGCTTGGATGAACTTTATTCTAATTAAGTATATAAGTAAGACACAGTTCATTTATTCACTTCATTTTACCCCACCCCCGTAAGTAACGCTGTTTTTACCATGTGTCACTACTGCTTTGTTGGATACAGATTGTTTGACATGAAATAAGGTACCACAAATCAGTGAATTTGAATTTACAGCAGGTATGTCATCAGTGTTTTAGTAGTCATGCAATTTATTTTTGTGACCATTTAAAAAAAAATAAATCAGGCATTTATATCAATGCGATTCAGAATAAAGGCTACAACTAATGTTTTCCACTAGAGGGAGCCACAGGACAGTAAAACCTCAGTTCAAAGACCAAAAATTTTTCAATAAATAAGTACAATGAGTGTACTTGAGTAAAACCTCCATTTTGTTGTCTTCGTTTTAATCCTAATAATACTGACAACATCATATTTTATTTAGAAAGAGAAATATTCATTGTAGAACTGGTATCTATCTACACAAGCCATTGAGCTTGTGATGATCGTCTCAAGTTGAACAGCATTGTTTAGGATTGATCTAGGAGCTTTATAATGCTTTTTACAGTGGATGCCATTGAAAACACTGCCTAAAACAGTCTATCCCTCTCAGCCTCACTTTCATACCAGTCATGGCGCTGCTCTGAATAAGGTCTAGTTCCCTGTTTTCACCTCGTTAATTATGGTAGGTCATTAGTGTCAACAGGCTGAAACAATCACCAGTATGCTATTATTGTGGAGAAAACTGATTCTAGACCAAGAGTTATGAACAGTTTTTCTCTCTAAAAGCAATCTAACAGTGTTACCTTCGTAATTTGTTCTTATTCTGTGCATCGGGCTATTATATTTATAAATCGATTTTTTTTTTTTACGAAACTGTTGGCTGACAAAACTGACAAAAAACATTTAATATTGAGGTCTAACCTATTTCAACAAGATCCTCTCACTTTCTGGCCTCGCCACCCACCTATATTTAGGCTTATGCATGTGACACATGATGTAGAAAAAATATACTGTAACTGTTATGGAGTGAAGGTAAACAGAATGTTGAATCTATATATTGTATTGTGCATTATTATGATAGCATGTATAATATATGCTTCAAAACAGTGAGGAGATGTGATTTACGGGATGCGGCCCCTTTAAGAAAAATTACACCGCGCGCAATGAGCATGCGCAGAAGAGAGAATAGCTAGAGTTTTGTTTTATCTCTCTCTTTGTTTTCTTTTTGTTGTTTCCTTTGACCCTATTATGAACGTATTAGTAGAATACTCCGTGTTTCCCTGTAAGTGTATGTTGTGGTAATGTTCTTATTAATGCAAAACAAAAGATAGAAGCGCGAGAGACGAGACGAGCGCTAAAACTTTAACCATTTGAAGCTGAAAGTGACGCTGTTAACGATCATGAATGAAGAACAAATGTGAAATATTTTTTTTCCGTATGTCGTATTTCCAATCTGCAGGTCAGATATGTTCTATTCATAATATAAGAATTTATTTATGTATTTGCCTTTGCTGTTATTCTATAGCTTCTTGTTCATTAAAACTGACATTCAACAAAAAAACAACATTTAATTTGATTTTACAGTGAAGATTATCAGAGTACATGTGCACATATTGCCTGAACTACATATTAATGAGGCAGGGTTGTGTTTTCTATGATGTTTTTCGTTATGAATATACTATGCAGCAGTAAAGATAATCAATGTACGTGTTGTCTGAACTACATTTGTGTGGCTATAATATGCTCAAGATTTTTAAAATGAAGACGAAAAATGGCAGAGTGGTGTTTTATAACATATTTCGTTTAATTGCTGTATACATAAATATACATAAAGAGATAACCGGAGTAGTCAGAGCGAGCTGAGTTTTACAATATGAAAAAAAAATGTTTCAAAATATCCAAAAATCACTTGCACTGCACAGTGCAGTTATATACAGTGCTAGTCAGAATTATTCGCCCCCTTTGTAAATACAGACAGCTGAAAGTAATCCAGTATACATTTTTTTTATCATTTGTTTTTTGACAGATATGGTCCTGTGGGCGTCAGTATCACACAGTGATCACAGTTCACACCTGCAGTGAAGCCCCTCCCACAACAATTCACCAATAAATACTGGGAATATTCCCATCATCCTACAAGAGAAGGACAAACTCCAGGAGTTTGCAGCTGAAATCTGTGTGACTGTTAAAGATGGAGGTTATTAAAGAGGAGATTGAAGACATGACTGATCCAGAACCATCCAGAATAAAACATGAAGATACTGAGGAACAAATAGGTTGGTGTCCATTCTTAATACTTTATTGTTGACTGCTTTCGTAGCTCTGAAATAATAAACAGTATATGGATGATACATATTAGAAAAATGAAACTAAATGATCATAACCCAGTTTTAATTGTATTAACTATTAACTGACATTTACACATCAAATATACTTTGGTAACATTTTACAACAAGGTCTTATGTGTGACATTACCTAACGTATAAGCTAACATGAAATAACAATGAGCAATGCATTTTATTAAAAAATTTATCTTTGTTAATGTTGGTTAATAAAATATAATATATAATTAAAAAATGTTTATTATTTCATGTTAACCAAATTAGTTAACTAGTGTGTTTTGTCTAATAAGTGTTATTAATTTTCTAGCTGTATCTCATTGAGCTGATTCTAACTGCTTAATACATTTATTTTAGACCAGAAAAAAGTGGAGGAGCAAAGACACAAACTAAATCACGTAATGAAACACTGCAACTTCAAAACTCAAGGAACCAAAGCCAAAAAGCTGCACTCCTGCTCTCAGTGTGGAAAGAGTTTCCCAAAAAAAGGAAACCTTAACAGACACATGCGAATTCACACTGGAGAGAAACCGTATACATGCGCTCCGTGTGAGAAGAGTTTTTCTCAAGCATCAGGTCTCAGTAAACATCTGCGCCTTCACTCTGGAGAAAAACCATTTAACTGTGATCAGTGTGGTAAAGATTTTAATTTGTCATCAGATCTAAAAAAACACCTGAAAATCCACGCAGATGAGAAGCCTCATGTGTGTTTTCTCTGTGGAAAGAGTTTTCCCAGGCTGGACAGTTTTAAACAGCACCAGAAAATGCATACAGGTGTGAGAGATCATGTGTGCTTTGACTGTGGGAAGAGCTTTACTACGGCTGGTCATCTGAAACGACACCAAAGAACTCATACTGGAGAGAAACCGTATCCATGCACTCAGTGTGGAAAGAGTTTTTCTCAAGCATCAGGTCTCAGTGTTCATCTGCTCCGTCACTCTGGAGAAAAACCATTCAACTGTGATCAGTGTGGGAAATATTTTACCTTGTCATCAGATCTAAAAGACCACCAGAAAGTTCATTCAGATGAGAAGCCTTATGTGTGTTCTCTCTGTGGAAAGAGTTTATCACGGCTGAAGAGTTTTAAAGTGCACCAGAAAACACATGATGAAGTGAGAGATCATGTGTGTTGTGACTGTGGGAAGAGCTTTACTAGAGATGACTGTCTGAAACGCCACCAAAGAATTCATACTGGAGAAAGACCTTTCAAGTGCTCATACTGTGACAAGAGTTTCACTCGGTCAGAATCTCTGAAATCACATATGCAACTTCATTCTGGAGAAAAGACGTAATTACTGTACACAGTGTGGGAAGAGTTTTTATTAGTACTAAATTGTCTTCTGATTGTACATGTAATTATGATAAATAAAACAGAAACATGCGGTCTTGATTTATTTAATGAACACAGAGAATTTGTTATATGTTTTAATCACAATAATGAGCTTTTTTTACGAGTTTTAGTTTTTTTTTATACATTTTATACATATTTGCAGTTTGTACTGAAAGTTTCTTTTGGAACTTGAACCGTTTGGTTCCCATTGAAGTCCATTATATGAAGAAAAATCCTGGAATGTTTTCATCAAAAACCTTAATTTCTTTTCGACTGAAGAAAGAATGACATGGATATCTTGGATGACATGGGGGTGAGTAAATTATCAGCAAAAGTTTTTTCAAAAGTGAACAACTCCTTTAATGAGCAGGTGCTGAGGAGGAGAAGAACGAAGAGAGAGAAAGAAAAATTGGCTATTTTGGCCTTTTGCAGGTTTATGGCAGCAAATTCAATACAGAGGTCTGTGTGGATGCGTAGACGAAGCCAGGAGTGGTCTGTGTCTGTGTCTGTTGTGTCTAGTGCTTACTCGCCGGCGCATAATTGTGTCAAATGTCGATGTAGATTGACGTCTGCAGTGTGAACGGGGCCTTAGGTATGAATTTGCGGTCCCTTTAAGAAGCATAACGCCGCGCATAGTGAGCATGCGCAGACGAATGTAGGTCGAGTGGCTGAGAGGAGCAGTGCATTCAGTAGAGGCTCTTTTGTTAGAACAAAGTAAATAAAGATCCGGTTGCTTTTTTCCTGAGCGATGTTTTTTATATGTAACTATAGCTGAAGTCAAAGCAACTCTCTTCATCTTATGTATGGTGATTTTGTCAGACGACGTCTCGCATAATTAGGGATTAAAGTGAAGAGCTGCTTAGAAGAAACTGCTGGTTAACATGTATGGGTCTCGTTTCAGTCACTATTTCATATTATTCCCGTTGTCTGACAACATAAACAGGAAAATATTGAGTTTAAAACACGTTTAGTTTAAAAAGTCGGCAGAATTCAAATGCGCCGTAATAACGTCATTACGCATGACGTTATCTTCCGTTCGTGAATATTTGTTCGTGACAAACGTGGATTGTTTTCTTCTGATGAATAGCCTATTTCCAGTCTGCAGGTGAGAGATGTTTCTCGGATTATAGAGTTTGAAATTAAAGACAGCTACAGAGTTTACGTGTGAATATTATACTTTATGTGCTTATCGTTACACTTTACAGTGATCTAGACATCACCATAATGAATGAGGTGAAAACAGGGAAAATTTATAGGCAAAGATGGTTGACGGCTCTGTTGTTTCTGTCAGATTTTGTTTTAAATTTAACCAATTTCTAATTGTATCAAAATATCCAAATTTCCAACTGAAAACATGTTCACTTAATTTAAATACAATTAGTATTTCAGTTTGTTATTTAAGTAACTTTGTTATTTATTTATTTTTATTTTATTTTAATTGGGCAGATCTGTATTGATTCCCATCATCCTACAAGAGAAGCACAAACTCCAGGACTAGCTGCTGAAATCTGTGTGACTGTTATGGAGTTTATTAAAGAGAATATTGAAGACATGACTGATCCAGAACCATCCAGAATAAAACATAAAGAAGCTGAGCAACAAACAGGTTGGTGTCCATTCTTGATTCTTCAGCCCAGAATCAATGGGAAAACCCTGTGGTAACATTCATGCAAAATGATATTCTGTTGCATCGTGCATGTTTCGTAACAGTAGCGCAATTGAGTAGCGCAAAAGTGTGTTCAGTTTTATACTAAATAGATTAATTTGATTCTGGCAACATTTAATTACGTTGGTTTTTACACAGTACAGAATGGAAATATCCGGTAAGTGGCTCTGAAGGGTTAACGTCCATCGTGTTTTAAAATAGACTTACTGTACACATACACTAAACCCTAAACCTACCCGATGGTGTTAACAAAGTCAAAGTTGACATGACGCAGTTCAACATGACATCATGACTTTTGCGTAAACATACACGCAACTTTCAAGTCAAGTGCCGTGTTATCTATACGCATTTTCTGCTATCCGCGTGCGCGTGTATGTACACGCCGTTAAATGTCCGAGCGAAACGAAGCAAAATGTAGATCTACATCTGGGGAACGATATTTTTTGTTTTCCTAGGATGGTAGGGTAAGACTCATAAATGCTATTAACCCCAGTGACGGGTAGGTTTAGGGACGGGGTTGGGGTAGGCCATTTATTTAAATAAACAGTAATGTAACTTTAAGTCAACGGCGTTCATAAACACGCTGAAAAGCGATTATGCGTGTTGATAGCGTGCCAAATATGGAAATACGAATCGGCGTGTCATACATACGCCATTTCATGAGATCAGTCTGAAAAGTACTGGAACATGTTTTGCAGAAATTTTGCCCAGGAATGTTTTTCCAATGAGCCTGTGTTGCGATTCTTCTTCGCTGACTGCTGAGAAACATTAAAACTGAAGTTTAACAGATTTAAGATATAGAAGTGTATCTAAGTGATGATGATCTTGCATAGCTTTTGTCATGCATGTTTTGATTGTATTAATACACACAAGAATGACAGAACTAACCTTTGCCTAATCGAAGATTGGACACTTTATTATACAGATACCTGATCTCTATTGCCTTCTACTATTAAATCATGTTCACCTGAACTGATCTTAACCACAACATGTTTTGTTTTAGAACGTCTGGAAGTGAAGCAAGAAAATAAACTAGATGAGGTTAAGAAGGAACATTGTGATTTCAAAATTCAAAGAGAAAAAGCCAAAACACAACCCACCTGCTCTCAGTGTGGAAAGAGTTTCTCTCAAGTATCAAATCTCAAGAGTCATCTGCGCATTCACTCTGGAGAAAAACTATTCATCTGTGATCTGTGTGGTAAAGGTTTTTATTCATCATCAGATCTAAAAAAACACCTGAAAGTTCATTCAGGTGAAAAACCTCACACGTGTTCGGTCTGTGGAAAGAGTTTTTCAAGGCTGGATCATTTTAAACAGCACCAGAAAACACACAATGAAGTGAAAGATCATGTGTGTTGTGACTGTGGGAAGAGATTTACTACAGCTGACAATCTAAAACGGCACCAAAAAGTTCATACTGGAGAAAAACCTTACAAGTGCATATACTGTGACAAGAGATTCACTCAGTCTGGACACCTGAAATCACACAAGCGAGTTCATACTGGAGAGAAGCCGTACTACTGTACTGAGTGTGAGAAAGGTTTCAAAGATGCAGCAGGTCTCAGTGTTCATCTGCTCGTTCACTCTGGAGAAAAACCATTTCACTGTGATCAGTGTGGGAAAGGTTTTAATTCATCATCATATCTCAAAAAACATCTGAAAGTTCATTCAGACGAGAAGCCTCACAAGTGTTCTCTCTGTGGAAAGAGTTTTTCAAGACTGGAAAGTTTTAAACGGCACCAGAAAACACATGACGAAGTGAGAGATCATGTGTGTTGTGACTGTGGGAAGAGATTTGCCACATCTGGTGAACTGAAACGGCACGAAAGAATTCATACTGGAGAAAAACCTCACAAGTGCTCATACTGTGACAAGAGTTTCACTCAGTCTGGATCCCTGAAAACACACGAGCGAATTCATACTGGAGAGAAGCCGTACGACTGCAGTCAGTGTGAGAAGAGTTTTAGACATTTACCAAACTTTCTCACACATATGAAAAAATGTCATGAACACCATTTGTTTTCATCTAAAATGCCTCAGAAGTAAACATTGTGTGATTAAAATATGGTGGTTTTCCTAAAAGTTAAACTTGTTTAACGTGTTGTTTTGTGAGTTTGGTGAAACTAGATAGGCTTAAGAGGTGAAATTCACAAGTGAAAAACTCTTAGTGTAAATAAAATCATTTTAGTTTTTTTTTTTTTTCTGGCAGGGTGGAATGTGTGCTAAATGGGACTTATTTTAATTAAATATAAAATGTCATGAGCAGCATTTGTTTTCATGTTAAATGCCTCAGAAGTAAACATTGTGCGATAAAATTGTGTTTTCCTAAAAGTTAAATTTGTACCCCTTAACTGTCACCTCCACTTTTGGGCATTTGCATGAAAAAACATATACAAACTTAAACAGCTGTGATTCATGAATGCTTTGGAATGCAGGTATAAGGTTGGTCTTTTTTGAAAGAAAACACCTGGCAAATTATTGTTGATGTGGAATTATTTAAAAAAGATTAATGTTTCTGAAAGTTTATTGTTATGAAATTTTGCTGTAATATTTGTTTTAGCCTAAAAATTAAAAGCTACAAGTCTAACAGAATTGTGTTTAAATTTTCAGCTTCTGTGAGACTTTTAATTGACACCACAAATGGCCACTAGGAGACACCCTTGTTCATTGATGATTTCCAATCCAAAGAAATGCCAAAGTAGTCGGGTCGCTGCTCTTGTCACACTGAATGACTATCTTGGCCAGCATTCAGTCACTGCTGTGTTCACACTGCACAATGGATCGGTGACAGAAAGTTTCACATAGCATGAATTTACAATACAATCGCTGACAACTCTTGTCAAGCATGCTGTGCGCAAACTACATACGTTTGGTTTCACAACAAACACACGCGAGATGTGACAAGGAAACAATGCGACATCACACGTGCAAGACCGGAGTTCTCACGTGAGACTTTTTCGACCCGGTTGTGGTATATCAGATGAAACGTCAAATTTTGACTAATTTTTCTTACATTTCTTGGGTCCAAATAGAAGAAGCCTTTTTTTTAAACAAATTTAGCATGCCAAATATCTCACGGGCGTCGGCGACTCGTCTGCGATTCTCTCAGATCACGTCTTTGCTCATTCGCACTGCGTGATTGTCACTCACGTGAACGAGCACCGATTTGCCTGTGATTTCAAAACCTGTCGGCGACTCGGCATTAGTTGCTTGAAGTGACACCTAAACACACAGACACTCAGGCCCCGTCCACACGGTGACATGTTTAACTGTATATACGTACAAATTTTTAGTCGTATTACCGTTTTGTCCAGACGATTCCGGCGTTTTGGCACACTGAAACCGCTATTTTTTGAAACCCAGGGTGGATAAATCTGAAAACGACACCCTTGCGTTTTCGTGTGAATGATGTCATCACCCCACGTGTCAACTAGTCAGTCACGTAACAGCAACAACTGCTGAATGCTGAACTGCTTGTATAATAATAATAATATAATGCGACAGAAACTACTGAAACTCTTGTATTCCTTTATTATTTACTTGAATGTAGTTTTAATTAATTTATTTAGTCCTATACCCAGATAGCAAACTGACATTGAATCAACGTGGAAATATGACATAGAAACAGCGTTGATCTGACATTGTTTTGCTCATCGAATTAACGTTGAACCAACGTCAGACGCGTCATTCTTTCAAAACTAACGGAAAATCAACTTAAAATCAACGTGTTGTTTCAACGTTATGAAAGCAAACCAATTTTCGATTTTAATTTAGCTTTGAAGAATGCCGCGTCTGACGTTGGTTCAACGTTAATTCGATGAGCAAAATCAACGTTGTTTCAATGTCATGAGAGACGTCGTTTCCACGTTGATTCAATGTCAGTTTGCTGTCTGGGGAAACACTTCCTGTTTCAGTTTTTTAACACTACATAAAAGCTGGGATAAAATACAACCAACAGAACATTTAAAACTGAATCAAAAAGTTAAACAAACATCTTTAAGATGTTTTCTTTACATGTGAAATAAAAAAAACAGTTACAAACTGAAAAAGGAAGTGCTTCTGGACCAGTCTTGTTTACATCTTGTGAAATGGTCTATATTTTGTGTAACAATGATGTCATCACCCCACGTGTCGACTAGTCAGTCACGTAACAGCAACAACTGCTGAACTGCTTGTATAATAATAATAATATAATGCGCCGACAGAAACAACTGAAACTCTTGTATTCCTTTATTATTTACTTGAATGTACTTTTAATTAATTTATTTAGTCCTATACTTTCTTTCGTAGCTATGCTTTGGTGCTCATTATTATGAGAAACTGTATCAATATAATGAGAAACTAAGTCATAATTATGATGAAGTTTCTCATTATTATGACTTACAGAATTATATTTTTTTAACTGTGGGAGAAAGGGTTTTCCATAGTGCACCTCAGAGAATGTAAAAATGCAGTTCATGGCACGCTAATAATGCGGCCCCTTTAAGAAGAATAATCGGGTTAAAAAGGTTGCAGGTTCAACTAGATCTAGACATGAGGAAGTGGTATTGTCCAGGTTGAGAATTGGGCATACCAGACTTAATAGTACATTATTTTTAATGAAAAAACATGTTGATGGCAACTGTGGGCACTGTATAAGACCTACCCCTGAAACAGTGGAGCATGTTTTGATTCATTGTGTTAAATATTATCAAGATAGGCAGAGGCTTATTGCTCAAGTAGAAGCCAATGAAATTATATTTGAATACAGTAAGATTTTACAAAGAAATGCTGAGAAGATTTTTAATTTTTTGTTTTTGATTTTAAAAAGTACAGGGCTTTTAAAAGGAATTTAATTATGTAGAAAATACATATCTCCTGCTATACACTCCAGTCCAGCGGTGGCGGTAATACAATTGATTGTTGTCAACCGCCATTTAAAGTGAAGAAGAAGAAGAATA